GAATGTGTAAAGTTAAATATTAATAAATATTTTGCACAGTTTCAGATAATCATAATTAACTAGATTTTGTTGAAATTAAATACATTAAATTACCCTGAATATTATGATATTAGATTATATTATTAATGTATTGTGCAAAAGTTTGTATTTTTTTAAATTATTTAAATATATTTATGTAACTGTTTTTAAGATATGGTATTTCAATTTCTTCTTGAATAATGATAAGGATTGGATTTCTTTTATATCGTTTGGTAGCTTATTATATAGTTGAGCCCCTTCATATTTGATGTTTTTCCTTCCGTAATTAGTACGTGGTGCCTGTAAACATATATTGTTGGCACTTCTCATTAAATGTAGTATTTCCCACTTATAATTTAAAATAAATTCCCCATGATCTACTCTATACTTTCCTCTTGGCGTCTTAATTTACTCATTACTTTTATTGACCAGATTATATTTTCTATTGCTGATATCGGTTCCGACAAACTTTCGTAAGTTCTTAAGGAGAGTGAGTGTGTATATGCAGTGATGTACAAGATACCTTAAATAAAGTATCTGGAATACAAAATGCAAAATACTTTTAAATTAAGTATTTCAGATACCAGATGCAAATAACTTTATGGCATGGTATCTAAAATACTAGATATAAAATATGTATCTTTTGAATACTTTTTATAGATAAAATACTTTTGCAAAAATATTTTTTTCTCACTCATTTCTCTTCGACGAGGCCACGGTCTTATAGCTCCGCTATATAATAAATACCAACAATTTATATGGGACTTTGCTTTATATGAAAATACAGTTCAATACAAAAAACAGTCAGATGATTTTTAATTGTTGTATTTAATGAATATAAATGTTTATTAAATAAACAGTTATCTTTTTCTTGAAGAAATTCTGAATTTATTATTTTTTATGCCATATTTATTTCCTGTCATAAATTATCCTTTTATGCATATTACCTGTACAAAATAATTTCAATTATTCATATCTGCCAGGCGTACCGCAACGGCTTACTATATTTTTTTATTTAATATAGATTATAAATAAGAATCTATATTGAATAAATGACTGTCTCATAGGTCTAGTGGTCGTAAATGTGATTGCTGATCATGAGGTCCCAGGTTCGAAGTCACGTTGAATCCACATATGCATCTAAAATTATTTTTAATTGCTATTTGTACGTGAGTGATCTTAAAATCATTTACCACCATCAGCATAATTTTAGGCTATTAGGTGTATATGTGTGAATCCATCATTGAACTTTATGGACCGATAAAGAAAGAAAGAAGAAAGATGTGTACTTGAGTGCGGGTTAAGAAGTTAAGCATGGTATCGGATGTACTTGAAATATATGGAGCACACCGGCTATCTTTTTTTGTTAGTCTTTGCATCATATTTTTTCCTTATGGTGAAAAAGACCTGTTCTACAGTCTCTCATAACAACATCATAAGAGAATTTAGTCTTGAAGTAAGAAAATCCACAACCCCATATCCTCCCCTGCATATTGTAAGAAGCGACAGCGGTAAAGTAAAACAAAAGATAAGCAGCAGCATTATTTCGATATGGAGACATTATTTTGATATGGAGTAGTAGATTCCCTTACTCCGCCACTACACATACTAAAATAAATGTCATTTTTTTCGATTAAATAAACCATTACTGAGATGACAATTCTGCCAATTTATTTATAAAAGTTCTCGAACTTTTATTTTGAAAGTGTAGTGATTGCTTACTTTTCTGATTTTAAGAGGGAGTTCCAAAGAAGGACAGAATTTGTCTTTCTTGGAACTGAGAGAAAGGAATGGACAAAACTTGAGCTTAGAATTTATTGAGTTTGTTTGATTAAAATATATTATAATCCGATATATTGTATTTTTATTGTAAATTATTATACAAGGCTATTTTTTCAAAGAGTAGCCAAATGTTAAACTAAATAAACCTAGCAAGCTAACAGCATAGCAAAGTGGCGAAGTAATCAGCTTTGTAGCGGTTTCTAACGGTTGACGTTGAGCAATCAGTTTCAAAATAGGAGGTTCAGATGCCTGGGTGATCAGTAATCGATTGCTGAAAACAGAATTTGAAAATTCAAAACCGATAGACGGACAGACGGACAGACGGACAGACATCGTGAAATCAATAAGTGACTTCGCAAGCTTCGCCACTTAATAATGATAGATCATTATTGTAATTTTGAAAATACGCGTAAATAAGGCTTCTATACTCACCAGTATTAAGCTGCTATTTGATGCTGGTATTCTGTGAGAGCATGGTCCTACCCCAGTTGAGCCGACCCATTCATGCTACAACCATAATATAGCTGCAGTGTGGCCCTACCATGTGTTACAATTATATGTGTTTACTATAAAAAAAAATTTAAAAATTACTTAAATATGTCATTACTCTAAGTCTCATTACATTATTATGATAGTATAAAGCTTGAAGAGTCTGCCCCAAGAGAAAGACCTCTTAAAGCTAAAAAGCGGCGTAAATATTTAAAGAATTATGAATGCTTTTCTGGATAGGCTAGATAATATTATAATATATAATATGATGTTTAGATGTTTGTTTTGTTTTCACACCTCAACCGTTTTCATGCCTCTAAGGCTGAACGAATTAGGATGAAAATTAATAGGTATATAGATGAGGTACTGGATTAACAGATAGAATACTTTTTGTTTCGGTACATTGATATAACCTAGGTCCATACGGATGAAGTTTGTTTGTCTTTAATCTTGGTTAATAATTAATGTAATTTAAGTTCTTTATTATCATAAAACTTATCAAAACAATGTAGGTAAGCGCGTGATAAATGAATATAATTATTAACGTACAATGTAAAAACCACTTCCAACTTCCAACTCCACACAAGTGAATCCATGAGGGAAACGCTGGCTACCATTTTACTCATTGACCTAATTTATTTTGTTTTAGGATTTTCAGTAAGAAACAGACCATTACAAGATAACACAAATACTAGTATACACCGAGTTGATGCTATTGAACAAGGAGTTGCATCTACATCTATTTTTGATGCCAATCTTCAAAATGTGACGGGTAAAACATCTACAGGTCTGCCTATGTTCAAAGGTAGGTAATTTTAATAAATTTTTCTCTCATAATTATACCATAGTTGACAATCAAATTCAGCCTTAATATGAATAGTAAAGTTACAGCCTACATACACGTCCCACTGCTGGGCACAGGCCTCCTCTCATTTCTGAGAGGGTTTTAGGCAAGTCCGCCGCGCTGCCCCAATTGCATGTTGGCGAACTTCACATGTCTTCGAAATATATATTTTTTCTTATTTGTCAGACATGCAGGTTTCCTCACGATGTTCTCCTTCACCGCCGAGTACGTGGTAAATCATCACTTAACATTACAATTAACAATTTCATTGGTGCTGGCGGGGATCGAACCCGGGTTTCTCGAGTACTGTGAAACTTACAGCGAGCGCTAACCATTTGAGCTACCACGACTCAATATGAATATGAATCTTAATATGAATATGAATTATAAATTAAGTTTACTTTACAAAAACACTACATAACCAAGCTACATTGTGGACTCTTCTACAGTATGTGTAGTTGTTAAAAACAGTTATAATTTAAAATTAAAATTTCCTACAACTGACTTCAATATAAATTATTAAGAATAACTCAAAAACTTGGTCAGATCTTGATCAAATTTATATGAAACCACATGAGCAGCACATACACACAGGTAACACACATAAAAATATAACATACAGTCGAATTGATTTCCGTCTCTTTTTTTAATTCAGTAGAAAATACAAATTGTAAGACACCGTAATATCCACAACACATTTCTTCAAGCCACTTATAAGATTCAGTTTCTCTGACCCACAACATATTTCTGGTAGTATATTGTGAGACAACTTCTGTAGACTAATTAATTGTTATTAAGTAACCTTAACCATAATATTTTTGAAGCAATTTAATTAAGAACACTTGATAATAAAAATTTTAGGATTTACAGGAAAAACCATGAAACAACCTCTGTATGTGAAGCACTCAGATGAAACTTATTTATTAAAAAAAGAATAGTGCAAGCTGAAACGTACTAAAGACTCTGTAGGGGCAAGGTTGAAGAAAGCCTTGAAACTTTATGAAAATTCAACATTTCAAAAGGCAGTAAAAAAACTGCAGCTGCTTTGATTTTTATTTGATGCAGTTCCACGAAGCAAAAAAAAAGAATGGGGCGGAGATTTACAAAAAAAGATAGTCCTGTCTTTGGCTTTGTATAAGCAGGGACCGAGAGCATACAGATGGCTGAGAAAAATTTTCATTCTGCCATCTCCGCTAACATTGAGTAGAATGATCTCAACAGCGTCACTGAATGTAGGATTGAATGAAAATATATATTCAGGGAACTACAAAAAAGAGCTCAAAAAATGAAACCAAAGCAAAAACTATGCATGCTCTTGTTTGATTAGATAGCCCTTACTCCACATTTTGATTACAATAGAAGACGTGATGCAATCACTGGATTCGTGGACAATGGTGAAACTACATAGAATAAAATAGCTGACCACGCTCTTGTCTTTATTATAAGAGGCATATTTTATAACCATAAACAGGCGATTTCCTGTAGTTTTTGTGCTGGCAGTACACCAAAAATCGAATTAGCCTTACAAATTAAGAATATTATAAGAAAACTTAATAACACTGGGTTTCAAGTAATAGAAACAATTTGTGACCAGGGGTGTGCCAATGTCAGCGCAATAAATTACCTCATAGAGGAAACAAGGGAAGAATATTTGAAGAAATATAAGGAATTAAAACGTAAAGTTTTCAAAATTAATGGCAAAAAAAGAATTCCATTATATGACACACCCCATCTGATAAAAGGATTAAGAAATAATCTTCTTGTCAAGGATTTAAAAAGCTCAATTAATAAGGAGGAAAAAACTGCAAAATGGGAGCACATTGTGCAATTGTATAAAGACGACCCAGGCTACCAAGGGCTAAGGTTAATGCCAAAACTATCTGATAAACACATAATACCAGAAAAATTTTCAAAAATGAAGGTTAAATGTGCAACCCAAGTATTCAGTCAATCAGTAGCAGTTAACATGGGATATTTAGCAAGTAAGTATTTATAAATAATTGCAAGGAGGCTGAGTGACTACAATAAATTCTCGCTTTTATAAAACAATACCATTGATCATTGATATCATGAATTAAAACAGTCTTCTGCTAAATATGGGCCTCTCTTAAGTGACAGGTGTTACCATAATAAATCCATGTGCTAGGTAGGTGGTGTGAGGATTCCAGTAGATGATTCGTTTTGACAAGTTTTCAATTTGACAAGTTAACCCTGCTGCCCATGAATCCACTGTAAATACGCCGCCACCACCCCACTCTACTGTTTATACAATGTCTGTTGAGTTGCGCGCTTAGAAACAGAAACAGAAACAAAAACTTTTTTATTCAATATAGATTATAAATAATACTTATTGAAAGTCACTCTTTGATTACCACTGTTTGATTACCACTGGTTCGGAAAAAACCTCTGTCCTGGGAAGAACCAGCAAGAAACCCAGCGGGACTATTTTTTTTAAATAACAGCTTACAATCATGATGTTACACACATTAACAACACAACAATTAGAAATAGCTTGGTAGCGATCACCTCATTTCCAGGGGTTATTATCATCCATAAATTCCTTCATATTATAATAACCCTTTTTATACAAACTTAGTTTAATAAAGTTTTTGAACTTTGAGCAGGTCAAACTTTGTGTATTTTCTAGAATTTTGTTGTAAAAGCGTATACGTCGCCCCAAGAATGAATTACTGACTCGATATAGTCGAGTAACTGGTACTACTACCTTGTGTCTGTTCCTAGTATTTACAGAATGAATATCACTTATTTTTGTAAAACTACTTTTATTTTTGTGTACGTACATTACATTTTCATAAATGTATTGAGAGGCCAAAGTTAATATATTAATTTCCTTAAATTTTTGTCGCAGCGACTCTTTAGGCTTTAAATCATAAATTGCTCTTATGGCCCTCTTCTGTAAAACAAATATAATTTCAGTGTCAGCTGCGTGTCCCTATAGCAAAATACCATACGACATTATGCTATGGAAATAGCTAAAGTAAACTAGTCTAGCTGTTTCAACACTGGTTAGACTTCTAATCTTTTTTACAGCATATGCTGCAGAACTAAGTCTGCTTGCTAGTTTTGATATATGGGGACTCCATTGAAGCTTCGCGTCTAGTGTCATTCCAAGAAAAATGGTGGTATCTACAAGACTCAGTTTCTCCCCATTTAAAATTACAATAGTATTTAATTGTTTGACATGTGGAGTTATGAATTTCATACATTTCGTTTTCATCATCATCATCATCATCATTACAGCCCTTCACAAGTCCACTGCTGAACATAGGCCTCCCCCAAAGAATGCCACAAAGCACGGTCCTGAGCCACCTGCATCCATCGACTTCCTGCATATCTTACCAGGTCGTCACTCCATCTAGTGGGGGGACGCCCTACACTTCGCCTGCCGGTACGAGGCTGCCACTCGAGAACCTTTCTTCCCCATCGGTTGTCGGTTCTTCGAGCTATATGGCCGGCCCATTGCCACTTCAGCTTACTAATCCGTTGGGCTATGTCGGTCACTCTAGTTCTACTGCGGATATCCTCATTCCTGAGTCTATCACGCAGAGAAACTCCGAGCATAGCCCTCTCCATAGCTCGCTGAGCGACCTTGAGCTTCCTCATCCGGCCAGCAGTGAAGGACCACGTCTCAGTTCCGTATGTCATCACTGGCAACACGCACTGGGTGTAAAGTCTCGTTTTCAAGTTTTGAGGTATGTCTGACGAGAAGATGTGTCGTAGCTTCCCGAACGCTGCCCAGCCGAGTTGAATCCGTCGATCGACCTCTCGGTCGAAGTTGGACTTACCTAGTCGGACTATTTGTCCCAGGTAAACATACTCGTCAACAACTTCGAGCTTAGTGTTCCCAACAACTACCGGCATAGGTGTGACATGGACATTAAACATGATCTTTGTTTTGTCCATGTTCATCTTAAGACCTATCCGTTGGGAAACACTATTGAGGTCATTGAGCATAGTGCTTAGGTCCTCCAACGATTCTGCCATAAGGACTATATCGTCGGCAAATCGAACGTGAGTGATGCACTCGCCATTGATGTTGATACCGTATCCTTTCCAGTCCAGAAGCTTGAAAACATCTTCCAATGCAGCGGTAAAGAGTTTCGGGGATATGACGTCACCTTGTCTTAAACCTCTCTGCAATTGGATAGGTTTCGTACTCTGGTTCTGTACTCGGATAGCCATCGTAGCCCTACTGTACAAGCACTTCAACACTTCGATATACCGACAGTCAACTTGGCATCGCTGAAGGGACTGCAGCACCGCCCAAATTTCGACGGAATCAAAGGCTTTCTCATAGTCCACATACGCCAGACATAGTGGCAAATTGTACTCCTCGGACTTCTGTACAATTTGCCGAAGGGTATGTATGTGGTCTATGGTGCTAAAGCCTTTTCGGAAACCGGCTTGTTCGGGAGGCTGGAAGTCGTCAAGTCTGCGCGCGAGACGATTCGTAATGACTCTCGAAAACAGCACGTAGACGCGGCTCAGAAGGGAAATCGGTCTGTAGTTCTTCAAGAGAGCGTTGTCGCCTTTCTTGAAGAACAAGACCACCGCACTTCTGCTCCACGCCTCCGGTGTAATGCCACCATGGAGGACGGAATTAAAGAGCTTCTGAAGGACTTCAAGTACCGGTTTTCCACCCGCTTTCAGAAGCTCCGCTGTAATTCCATCCTCGCCTGGGGCCTTGCCGTTTTTAAGGTGCTGGAGAGCCATTCTAATCTCGCTCAGACTGACGTCCAGGATATCATCGGAATAATGTCGGATAAGACTCGCTCTTGGATCGTTACTCACACTTGCGTGCGGCTCCAACGATGACGTGTACAGCTGCCCATAGAACCTCTCAATCTCACTCAAAATCTCAGGTGCCCCGGAAACGATGCTGCCACATTCTGTCTTCAGCTTTGACAGTTGGCGCTTTCTGGCAGACAGATCTCTGGCAAAGACTTTGGAGCCTTGGTTCCGCTCGATCGCTTCTTCAATACAAGCTGTATTGAATTTGCGTAAGTCCCGCCGCATGCATTTGGAGATCTGTCTGTTCAGTTGCCTGTATGCTGTTAAATCTGTTGAAGAATGTAGCTTCATCTCCCGTCTAACAGCCATGAGATTAAGAGTGTGATCGGAGAGTTTTTGTGTTCTTCTGCGGCGGGTCTTGCAGAACTTAGCTCCGACCGCATGGACAGTTTCCACGAGCTTGTCATTCAAATCGTCCACTTCATTGCAGTCTTCTAGGCACTGAAAACGGTTTTGTAACTCGAGCTGAAAGGTTTCGGGACTTTGGATTAGAGCACGAGGGGGACGGAGCGTTGACTTCATTAGACGAGACCTCTCCAACTTAACGTTTAGGTTCAATGTGCCTCTAACCATTCGGTGATCGCTGCCGGTTTTCACCCTCGCGATCACTGAGACATCACTGAACAGTTGTCGTCTGGTCGTCATAATGAAGTCAATCTCATTTTTTGTCGAACCGTCGGGGCTCGACCAGGTCCACTTCCTGTGGGGCCGCTTCTGGAAGAAAGAGTTCATCATAAAGAGTCCCTCTTTCTCCATGAAGTCAGCCAACTGCTGGCCCCTTGGGTTCCGTTGCCCTATTCCAAATTTCCCTACTTTCAGCTCACCGTTCTCTCTTGTGCCTAGTTTTGCATTGAAGTCTCCCATTAACACCGTATATTGGGTTTTGGAGGAATGCATGGCTCTAGAGATATCCTCATACATTTCCTCCACCTCCTGATCGGGGTGTGCCGAGGTTGGTGCGTAAACCTGTATGACCTTCAGCGAATACCGTTTGGTGATTCTGAGTATAAGGTACGCAACCCTCGTCGACACACTTCCAATCTTTACAACGTTGTTAACGAGAGACTTGTGGACGATAAATCCGACACCTCCTTGGGACAGATGGTCGCCCTCCCGGTAATAGAGCAAGTTGCCGGATTCGAGGATTACCGTGTCCTCCCCCTCTCTTCGGACTTCGGATAATCCTATAATATGCCAGCGCAACTTGTCTATCTCTTCTTACAGCTCCACAATCTTCTCGTCAGTCCTCAGGGTGCGTGCGTTGTATGTTGCCAGGTCGAGTCGTCGTAGGTGGCAACCGAACCTCCACCGGAGATTCTTAGCACCCCCTGCCCCGCCGTTACCATGGTCGCCACCGTAGCCAGGAATAGCGGGGCCGCCGGGGACTGGGGGCCGTTTATTATTGTCATTGCTCATGGGGGGTATATTGCCATAGTTGCCACGCTTGGCGAGCGGGTTGGCAACCGCAGTTTTTTTTATTGTTATTTTGGCTATTATCAGGAAGATGCTGCTGCCCATCTCCTGCCTGTTTCCCTTTGTCGCCTTTTACGACACCCACGGGAAGATATGGGGTAGTGGATATTCTTAACCACCACTACACGGTACTACATTTCGTTTTAGTGCCATTTAAATGCCAATTATTAACATTGAACCAATTTACTAATTTAGATATAGCATTATTTACTTCGTCATATTTTAGTAATTGTCGACTTAATTTGAAAATTAAAGAAGTGTCATCTGCAAATAATACTATATCATGGTTATCCCCTACTATGTAAGGTAAGTCATTAATGTATCTAAGAAACAGAAAGGGGCCGAGAATGGAGCCTTGAGGCACGCCCATTTGTACCATCGATCCGGAAGAGCTCATATTGTTAATGACAACTTTTTGCGTTCTCTTACTTAAATATGAAATAATTAATTTAAGAGCATCACTTCTTACACCGTAGTGTTGAAGTTTCCTGATTAATGTTTCATGGTGAACACAATCGAAGGCCTTGGATAGGTCACAAAATATACCCAAAGCATCCTGTGAATTCTCCCATGCATTAAAGATATATTTAATCAGCTCAACACCGGCATCAGTTGTCGAGCGACCCCTTGTGAAACCAAATTGATTTTTATGAAGTAAATTATTTATATTAAAAAAAAATTACATTTGATCATGAACAACTTTTTCAAAAATCTTACTAAGTGTTGGTAGTACAGAAACAGGTCTAAAATTGGCGGGGTCTAATGTACTACCAGATTTAAATAAAGGTATTACTTTACTATGCTTCATTAAATCAGGAAACACACCAGATTCGATACTAGTATTAAAAATAATAGCTAAATGAGGCGCGATTGTATCTATTATAGACGCAATAACTTTAACGGAAATCCCCCACAGATCCGCAGTTTTCTTAACATCAATAGTTTTAAAATATTTTACAATATCTTTTGATGACTCTTTATGAAATGTAAAATTCTTTGTACACGCATTTACATTTTGTTTAAGTAATGATTCGGCGACGGCAGGAGAAGAATTCAGTGACTTAGTGGTCAAGATCGGAATATCAGTAAAATATTTCTCAAAAACCATTGCTACGTCCTGATCTGATACAGTTATATTGTTGTTAACACTTTACTTATGTAAATAAATTGATAAACAGTAAGCACAGATTCCTCTACGAATCATATTATGTGTTTTACACATTGCAGTTTAAGTTTAGTTTATTATATATTAAGTTTTAGGAGAATAATATCAAAATGACATAAGTCTATCATCATTACAGCCCTTCACAAGTCCACTGCTGAACATAGGCCTCCCCCAAAAAATGCCACAAAGCACCATGCTTAAATATAGAATGCCATAAGTCTATATTTAAGCATAAAAAGTCAAAAATTCAATTCTAGTAAACATTCTTATTTTGGAAATTTACTATGGGAACATATTGTTGCTTATAAATCATTCTATTTCACACGAAACATTTCACGTTACTTTTTACTTTTACAGGTAAAGGAGTAATTGACAAAGAATGCCAAGACACAGCCGACGTAATATTATTCTTCGACAACCTGTTCGACTCTTTAAATGGTAGTTACCTAAACTCGAAAAAGAAAGCAGGGAAAGCTCTTCTAGGACCAGTAAGACCCAACTCTATCCATAAAAAAGTTTGGCGTGATGCTAAGCAAGTATTACTTACCATGAAATTTGTTAAAAATGGAAAAACTACAGTTGTTCCAAGTATAACAAATTGGCTCCAGTCAATCAAAAATATGGAATATCTTGTTAATCAATTAGAAAAACGGATAGATTAGAAAAATTTATTTTTATTTACTTGGTGTAAAAATATTAACAAAATTATGAATGGTACAAGGATAGACATAAATAGAGATGATTTGAATGAATTTATGGCATATAATTATTACGTGAAAAGATTAAAGAAAAAGCAATATGTACATTAAAAAAGTATTTTTATTTTAAATTTCCCTCTATCTAGTTAAAAATTAATAAACTTTATTATGAGAACTTAATTTCGAATCTATACAGAAATAATTATTCTCATGATGAAGTTTATTAATTTTACCTTCATTTTTTGTTTATGAAGAAAGTCTATAGTATTGTTGCGCGCCACTATTAATGTCTTGTACATGGCAACACTAGTTACACTAGCGCCCTCTAGTGTCGAGTAGCAGAACAAGGAGAGTCGAGATCCTTCCAGAAATTTCGGGACCGATATGTACTCGAACATTCTAGATGTCGCTACAGTAGAAGGTTCTGGAAACTATCTGAGGCCCTATATAAGGCCGGTATAGACCACGACCGGGGGCAGTATTGAATTGGCGATACAAGAGAATACTTCGAAGCGAAATAACTGCGAACTAAAGTGATTGTGTTTTATTATTAGTGTGATTTTAAGTTGTAATTAGTGTTGTGTAATTAAATAGTCAATTTTGGTAATTCACTCGGCAGTTTTTAACTATCTCGAACCTCAAGCTCGTAATAATTGGTGTCAGAAGTGGGATTAAATCATGCCGATTTTACCAAAAGACCTCCATGTCGTCTTATATATAGATATCCGTACCCGAAGTCAACGCCAGCTGGAGACGGACCAGAGACGATTTGGTAATACAACGCCGCAAACATCGGAGGGCCAGCTGCTGACCACGGAGGTCGGTCTGTCATCAGCTCGTGCATCTACAGCTCCTGACTTAGGTGTTCTGATGATGATGCTGCAGGAACAGGCTCGCCGACAGGAGGTACAGGCCCGTCGGTTGGAAGAGCAGCTGCAGCGCGGACAGGAGGAACAGGCCCGCCAACAGGAGGAACAGGGCCATCGGTTGGAAGAGCAGCTCAAACGCAATAAGGAAGAGCAGATACTTCTCATGAAGGACCTTCACGCTACCTTCGGGAAAGAGATAAGGGAGGTGAAGGATAAGGTTGCTCAATATGACAACCGCCTGTCGGAAGCTGAAACCCTTAGATTACCTCCTAATAGATTCCGCATACAGGTACACAAACGCGCGCAACACATACTTGCTGTAGCTAGCATATGAAGTGACGCTAAGAATCATGACATCAGTGTTGACCAAGTTTGCGACCCGTAGGCGCGTAAGAGTTCTTGACAATTTAAAAATAGTTTTGTATCCAAAATACATTACAAATGGCTTCCTGTGCAGTAAAATGGTGTGGCAAGTCAGCTAAGACATCCAGTTATCAAAAAGATGGCATAAAATTTCATCGGTAAGCAATTTCTATTCTTATCACGTTAACCTATTTCAAATGCACCAGAGATCAACTTATACTGGCACATAATGGTGCAAAGTGATAAAAATTGAGCACCCGTTGATGTCTTTTTGAAATGTCCCTTTCACTCATTACGTAAATTACAGTAGTTGTCTTTGTCTAACAACAGCCCGTGTGTCGATAGTGTTGTTTTTTAAGTCGATATTTTATGTTTGGTCACCATTTAATTATTTTTTTGAAGTCATATTATTTTATAAAAATAGTGGCATATCATTCTGGTACCTATATGTTATAGGTTTCCTAAATGTCCCGAAAGGAAAAAGATGTGGATCGACGCAACTTGTCGAGGGGACGGATGGTTTCCTACCAAAAATAGTGTGCTATGCTCAAGACACTTCACAGAAGACAATCTTCATATTATGAAAAAACGTAGAAGGCTGTTGGATTCCGCTATACCATCTCTATACTTGCCAGTTTAGGTATGGACTTTTACATTTTTTTAAAAGATTAGTACCAATATAGATTATCCAATAAAAGCATTAAGTGGTTGAGTGAAACATGATATTCTAATATTAAGGTGAATGTTACATGTCGAAATCAAACTATTTTTAACGGATTTATAAATCATAAACATGTAAAAGTTATAATGTATTTATTGTTTTGACTTGGTATTCTTTTGTTACTTGAACTTCAGTAATATCTTATTATTATTATAAAGTACATTTAAATTTAGAAGACGTGCCATATAGTGTATTAATTAATAATACTACTTTTAGGCACCCATCCCTACCATAGGCTCAAGTGCAGATATTGCAGCTAAAAATTCGGAAATTCCTGTGGCCGGCACATCCTTGAAAAAAACGGTATGATTATAAAAATAATTAATAATATGATTATAATTTGTATGAATGAATAATAAACGTATTATATGTACCTAAATAATTATTGGTAATATTTTAAAAGAAACGAATACGTATTTCAGATTACTCGTTCTCCGCTGAAAGACGCAAAAAACCCGCCAACACCTAAGAATCAGAGCCATTGCTTAGAAACGCCTACAAAACAAAAAAGAAAATTTGCTCCTCTACCTGATACGCCATCTGCATTTGATACTCCAGTTAAAAAACATCTTTGTAGAAGAATCATCGAATTAACCAACGTAATGAACAAAAAAATAAAAAAATTAAAAAGTTAAGTGATTCCAACAGAAGACTAAAAAGACAAATAGTTTCTTTGAAGTCATTATTGGTAGAATTAGAAAACAAAAATTTATTAACAGCCGAAAACAATGACGCATTAAGTTCCTTAGGGGTCAAATGTAGTGAAATTATTCATCGTCAAATATTGAAAGGAAAATCAGGTAAAATTGTTAGGAAAAAATATTCACCACAGTTGAGAGCTTTTGCACTCACCTTAAATTTTTATTCAACTAAAGCTTATAATTATGTACGCAAAACATTTAATACTTGTTTACCCTCTGTAAAAACACTAGGAAAGGGGTACAGATCTATAGATGGTCGTCCAGGTTTCACGAAAGAAGCTTTTGATGCTCTGAAATTTAAGGCAACACAGACAAATCTGCCCATTCATTGCTGCATTATTTTTGATGAAATGAAAATTGAGAGGAAAGTAGAAAAGACATATGGTTATGTAGATTACGGTGGAAGTGTGGATTCAGACTGTAGAGATGAATGTACCGACGCGTTAGTTTTTCTAGTTGTTCCATTACACGGTAAATGGAAAGTTCCTATTGGGTATTTTTTTATTAATAAAATGACAGCTGACCAAAAAAATTTTTGCTTACTCAAGCTATTGACTTATGCTTTGAAGCTGGATTAGTAGTCAAAGCTGTGACCTTTGATGGCTGTCCAGCCAATATAGCAATGGCCAAGAAACTGGGCTGCAATTTAAATCCGAATAATTTGAAAACTGTTTTTAAAGCACAAAACAATGAAATAGCTATCTTTCTCGATCCAGCTCACATGATAAAATTAGTTAGAAATAGTTTTGAACATTACAGGGAATTTAAAGACGCTGAAGGCAATAATATAAAATGGAGTCATATTGAGATGTTACACCAGTTGCAAGAAAATGAGAAGTTTCACGCAGCTAACAAGCTACGATCTGAACATTTGTTTTTTAAAAAGAATATTATGAAAGTGAAACTTGCCACTCAAATGTTTAGCAGAAGTGTTTCAATAGCTCTCCAATTTTGTAAAAACACCTTGATGATAACCCAGTTTCAAGGAATAGATGGAACAGCTACTTTTTTGTTAATATTAAACGACTTATTTGATATCTTAGATTCGAAAGTGCATGGATATGGACTGAAAAGGGCATTAAATGCTGAAAACTCTGAGGTTATTTTATCAAAACTCGAAATGTGCAAAAGTGTGTTGATGAATTTGACAACTAATTTCAAAAATAGGCAGACGCGATTAATTGATACACCGAGATTTACCGGATTTTTAGGACTCTGTATATGTATTGGAAGTGCAAAATTTTTATTTAATGATCTGATAAAGAACCAGCGCTGTCCTTATATATCGTTTCACCGTATCAGCCAAGACCACATTGAACTATTTTTCTGCAATATGAGATCACATGGAGGGGCTAATAACAACCCAACGCCAAAACAGTTTTGTGGAATTTATAGAAAAATGCTTGTACACATGGAACTGCAAGAAATCAATACCGGTAATTGTATAACATTAGAACAAATTGCCATATTAAACTGTTCTTCAGCTATAAAACGTATAAATATGACGACTGAAAGGGGTGAAACTTGCGAGACTGAGGAATGCTTTGATGAAACTTTTATTGATTCCTTGCCGTTATCTCAGTTTTCCGAAAGCATAATAGAATATGTCGCTGGCGCTGTTGTACATTACTTAAAAAAAAAATCAAATGTAATAAGTGCGTTAAAGCTTTAATATCCCTGGATGAGAAAAAAAAACAGTTTAATTTACGCAAGAGATGCAGGAGGACTACTGTTCCCGTCCAACATGGTCACCAAAATTTGCAGACGATCTGAACAAGTCATTCGAAGCTCAATCAATTCAAATCAAGGTTCTCAAATATATTACAAAGACAAATTTCGGTTTGTAACACAAACATTAAGCAGTTTTGTTAATGAGGATATTTTTCCTGAAATAAAAAATCACCAATTCGATCACGAAAGTTGTAATCATGTCATTGACTTAGCTAAGAGTGTCATGAAAAAATACATAGACATAAGATTACTCTATTTATCCAGGAAGACAGATCCTAAGAATTCTGTGAGACAATTATATACCAAGCTTATCCATTTTAAGAATCAGTGAAATATTTGTCGGAGCGTCTACAAAATACCAGTTGAATCAAGTGAGCGAGCGGTTGCGTGACTCTAGCGAAACGTCATATCGATGGTAGCGAGGTAGAATTAAGGGTATATCGAGAAACATATATATTTAAATAAACATAAAAAATGTTAGCTCGTTCAACACATTCAAGAAACAATTGTATGAATATCTTGTTGCAAATGACTGACTTAAATAATCGTGAATGCGTTGCGCGGGTGATGTATGTGTATTTTTGGTGAATTTAATTTGGTGAACGACTGTGAAATTTACTTTCAGCTATGTACTCATGTAAGTGACATGCATTTTTCTTAATGAGTAATAAATATCTTTAAACCTATTTATAAATTAAATGTACAAATATATGTATGCATTGTTTTATTATTAAATAAACATCAAATAAAAATTGATTAATATATTTATTTATCCATCATCAATAATCAATAAATCCCAAATTTATCGATCAACGTCCCAACCCTGTTCCATCACTATGGTTTGGTACATTCTAAGTTTGACCTTTAAATATCCAATCACAGCGCAATTGACACGTCCCCCGCAACCCCAAGTTTGGTGAACTCGAAACAGAACAAATATTCAATGATGCGGTATCTATTAGGAGGTAATTAATAGTTTACTAAACAGATACATCACTCCCATACAAAAGCGAAAATACCTACGCTATAATAGCCTACAAAATCTTAATAATAATATCTGCAGCTCGCAGCGAGAGGAAAATGTACCATAAATGCGCGCTTAAAGAGTCGAGATTGTGTTGACCGCCGTGCGACTCGCGTGCAAGCGCGTCATCGCACGAATGCTCTAGGGTTGTACCTATGATGATTATTGTAATAAAACGAATCTTGCAAAATTACCATATTTTTTATTTGTCGATAAACTATGTTTGAGTTTTATAAAATGATTTATACATTTTTTTCCTTCTCTGAATTCTCGGTTGTTAAATTTTATCGTTGAAAATACTTGTCACTCAATTTGTAAATTACAGCACTGTTATGCTTTGTTTCGATGTAATCTTATAGTTAAGAAAAAAAAGACAATTTTTCATTTGTTTTTTGACTCTGACACCCATCCACTGCACAATAATTACGTGGTTTCGGCATTTCGACGAGTAAGCGCGGGAAACGTGTGCAGTGCAAGCGCTCATTCGGGCGTGCGGCAGCCCAATGTCGGTTGTATCATGGGCGATACGCAAAACGGTAGGCATATAAAGCAGGGTCTTGAGCGAGTGACGGAGGCCTGTCTGTGCTGAAACCCAAATTGACCAAGTGTACAATCGGGTTGACAACGTGATGGCTGACGTGAAGAAAACGCTGGACGACCTCAAACTTGGGGATGGAGTTACAGCTCCCGTGGTAACTACAACACCTTCGCTACGTGGATTCAAAGTGCCGCCGTTCGACGGGACTTCTTCCTGGTCGGCCTATAAAATCCAATTCGAGGCTGTCATGAAGGCGAACGGCTGGAATAAAAGTCAGGCTATGACTGCTCTCACCCTAGGCCTGCGCGACCAGGCCTTAACTGTTCTGGAAGCTCTCGGTAATGAAGTGACTTACGAGCAGCTCCTTGAGGCATTGGAGGCGAGATATGGCGATGCTCACCTGAAACACGTCTTTCGTGCGCAGCTCAAAGATCGCGTGCAACGCAGTAACGAAAACCTGCAGCAATGGGCCCTTGAGGTAAAGAAGCTGGTACGAAAATCATACCAGTCTGTACCTGCGCTCATTGTAGGGAACCTGGTGCAGACATTCATCGACGGCATCCGCGACCTTGAAGTCAGAGCTGCTGTGAGGCTGAGACGCTTAAGGACGCCTTGGCCCATGCACTGGAGGTGGAAGCCGTGCGGCAGGATCATCGTTCCCACCGCGTCAGGGAGGTTGCAGGAGCTACAGTTCAGGACCGCAATAAGGGCTACAGACCTAGGTGCTACGGCTGTGGGGAAAGGGGCCATCTTCGATCCAGCTGCCCTAAACGAACTGTAGAAAGGGAAGGTGATCGATCTTGAGAGGGTAGTGTGACTGACAGCACCGCCCAGCAGCAGCAGGGAAACTGGCGGGTGCTGGCTAATGTTAAAAGAGCCCCAAGGATTTCGATCTCACAAACCCGTGATGGAAACAGCCTGATCATCAAGGGCGAGGTCAACGGAAAGCCGTGTTAACTGACCATAGACACTGGAGCCTCTCGCACGGTTGTCAGTTCCCAACTTATAAATCAGTTTCTTGGGGACTCCGCATACAACCGCGAATGCATTAATTTGGTGACAGCCACTGGTCAGCGCATACCCGTCCGTGGAGAGAAGGAGATGGAGTTGAAGCTAGGTAACATGATCTACCTGCATAATGTCATCGTGGCTGATATAAGGGACGACTGCATCCTGGGCCTAGACTTTATGAGGAAGAATTGTTGTGATATCGACGTTAAGAAAGGTGTTTTGAAATGTGGACAAGAGGAACTTTACGTGGAAGGGGCGTTACCAGGGAATGTGTACAGCGTTAAGAAGATTGTTCTTCCGCCGAGATCGGAAACGATTGTGCTGGTTAGACTTCCACGGAATCCTGGGCAAGCTCATCGTTGTGTACTCGTGGAAAGGGTAGACAATGACCTTCCATGGAAAGTGGCTCTAACCTTGGTCAGACCAACCGACATCTCAGGAGTACGTGTGTTGAACCTTTGTGATCAGAAACAGATTATAGAAAAAGGCACATTGGTTGGTACTAGTGAGGAAGTGGATTGGTTGCGTCAGTGCCAATATCTATCGACTGGGACCCCCAGCAAGGATGGACAAACTAGAGTGACCACACTTTTAGAAGACTATCGCAGCGTTCTCTCCCCGAATGAAACGGTCAAAGCGAAGAAGTTGTTACTCAAGTACGCCAATGTCTTCTCGTCAAACGAAGCTGACATAGGAAAGACTGGCCTAGTTCAACACAAAATAAACACAGCACAAGAATTGCCTATTCGTCAGCGGCCAAGAAGATTGCCTGTAGCACGTGAAAAGGAAGTGGAAACCATGATTGAGGTAATGGTGAAGGATGGTGTTATTGAACCTTCATCTAGTCCATGGTGTTCACCTGTGGTGCTGGTAAAGAAGAAGGACGGCAGCATGCGGTTTTGTGTTGACTACCGCCGCCTGAACGACGTTACGAAGAAGGACAGCTATCCCTTGCCAAGAATTGATGACACGCTGGACATGCTTACAGGCGTAAAATGGTTTAGTACGCTGGACCTGAAAAGTGGCTACTGGCAGGTTGAAATTGACCCTAAGGACAAGGAGAAAACTGCATTCTCCACAGGAAAGGGTCTGTGGCAATTTAAAGTCATGCCGTTTGGATTGTGCAATGCTCCAGCAACGTTTGAAAGGTTGATGGAGCTTGTACTTACCGGGCTAATTAGAGATGCCTGTCTGGTCTATTTGGATGACATCATCATCGTAGGCCGTACGTTTGAGGAACACCTTCAAAACCTGGAACGCGTGCTCATGAAGATCCAGAGTGCCAACCTCAAGTTGAGTCCGAAGAAGTGCTCACTATTCAAACGGCAAGTTAGTTTTTTGGGGTATGTAGTGTCGGAAGAAGGTATCCGCACGGATCCAGAGAAAATTGCAGAGCAAGGAGTGGCCGGTTCCAAAAGACAAGACAGAGGTTAGAGCATTTTTGGGTTTGTGCTCTTATTATCGGCGATTTGTGAAGAACTTTGCAGATATATCCAAACCTCTGCACAAGCTAACCGAGGAGAAGCGACATTTCTCCTGGGATGAAAGTTGCGATATTGCATTCCAGGAGCTCAAGAACCGTCTGTGCAAAACACCTATTTTGGGGTACCCTGATGCGGGCAAGGAATTCATAGTTGACACAGACGCAAGTGATATAGGACTTGGCGGTGTGTTGTCTCAACGGAATGGTGATCAAGAAATTGTGATAGCGTACTTCAGCAAGTCGTTGTCAAAGCCGGAAAGGAACTATTGTGTCACAAGACGGGAATTGCTTGCTGTGGTAAAGTCCTTGCAGTATTTTAGTAAATATCTCCTGGGGCGGAAATTCTACTTACGAACTGACCATGCTGCACTGAAATGGCTATTGCAGTTCAAAAATCCGGAAGGACAAGTTGCGAGATGGATTGAACTACTACAGGAATACGACTTTGTGATCGAACATCGCAGCGGGAAATCTCATGGCAATGCAGATGCATTATCAAGAAGACCTTGCCCTGAAGATTGCAAGCATTGTACTAGGCAAGAGTGTAAAGAAGTGGTATCTGCGAGGATATTCAGGACAGACCACCTCAGCAATGAATGGAAGGACAGCCTACAACATGCACAGCAGGAAGATTCGGACATTAAGCCGATTCTGGAATGGATAAAGGCCAGTGCTCCTAAGCCCAAGTGGAGCGACGTCTCAGCAATGAGTTCAACCACTAAAAGCTATTGGACCCAATGGGACAGCTTGCTGATTCAGGATGGAGTCCTGTGCCGTAAATGGGAAAATGGTCGGGGAGACAGGTGTCATTTGCAAATGGTTGTCCCTAAGGCTATAGTGCCGGATATTCTACAGCTGTACCATAGTGGTTGTTCAGGAGGCCACCTGTGAGTTAAACGAACTCTCCTGAAGATCCGACAACGGTTTTACTGGGTCCACTGTCGTGACGATGTCGAGGACTGGTGCCGCAAATGTACAAGTTGTGCGGCTGTAAAGGGACCTCAAATTCGTAGTAGAGGCGCATTGAAATTGTACAATGTTGGTGCACCATAGGAGAGGATAGCCATTGACGTTGCGGGTCCGTTTCCAGAAACTGAAAGTGGTAACAAGTATTTCATGGTTGTGATGGATTACTTCACTAAGTGGCCAGAAGTCTTCGCCATTCCAAATCAAGAAGCTTCAACAATTGCAGATAAACTAGTTCATGAATTCTCCTGTCGTTTTGGAGTACTTTTAGAGATTCACAGCGATCAAGGAAGGAATTTTGAGTCTCAAATATTCCAGGAAACTTGCCGAGTTATGGGTACTCAGAAAACACGAACAACTTCTTACCACCCACAATCTGATGGAATGGTAGAAAGATTTAATCAGACATTGGAGAGGTACCTAGCAAAAGTTGTGGAAAGACGGCAACGAGACTGGGACAGGCACATACAACCGTTTTTGTTGTCATATCGAAGCGCTGTTCACGAAAGTACATCAGTGACACCAGCTTTCGCAACCTTTGGGAGAGAATTGTGGCTGCCTGCAGACCTGATCACCGGAATACCACCTAATACCCCACGCAGTATAACCGATTATGCAAATGACTTGCGGAACAAAATGAATGACATTTATGAGCACGTCAGACAGACGGGCCAGCAAACGTCTGAGAAGATGAAAACACGGTATGACCGCAAAATGAACAACAAGGGGTTTGATGAAGGTTCACTAGTGTGGTTACATAATCCAGTTCGCAGCAAAGGGAAATCTCCTAAGCTTCAAGCTAAATGGGACGGACCGTACCGGATTGTGACAAGGATCAATGACGTAACCTACCGGATACAGAAAGGTGCCAGAGGTACTGCTAAGATTGTCCATGTGGATCGACTGGCGCGTTATTATGGGGCCAATAATGCTCGGGACGAGCATGTTTTAACGTAACTAACGTAACTTCGTAACAGTATCTATACATATTATATATAGGATTTATGGTTATGTAGATACAATCAGTAGTACAGGTTTAAATTTGAAGGCGGCGCTGCAAATGATTTCAACGACTGATTATTCTATCCTCGGTTATAAAAAGATACTCTGTGGAGGCCTCATGATTATGCCCCCAAATGAGAAGAGTCGCTCCACAGGGGCTTCTCATACGACAAAACTTTTACGTGTCTCCCTGAAACACAGACTATCATGCGGAATAATTAAAAATGACACAAATCAAGGGGTATAGCCGATAACATTTTGTAGAAAGAAAGAATTGCAACGCGATCTATCAATTTAACACCAGACTAACAAGTGGGATGCGGGAAGTAAAGACTGCGTATGAACCTCCGAAGGAGGCGGAGTTATAGCCGAAATAAGAATTTTTAATTTTTTAGTTTTTGGCCATTTTGACCCCCTAGGAGTGTAATGAGAACTTTTTGCCCCTATTCAACCATAACCTCCATGACATCCTCTACATGATAAGCTATTCAAATTGAATATGCCTAAAGTTCGAGCCACCCCCCAATTATTTGGGATTTGGGCATTTTGACCCCCTAGGAGTGTAATGAAAACTTTTTGCCCCTATTCAACCATAACCCCCATGGTATCCGCTACATGATAGGCTATTCAAACTGACTAGGCTTAAAGTTCGAGCCGCCCCCCAACTCATTTCTAGTCTTTACTGCCAAAGTTTCAATGGCGCGATCAGTTTTATCTACGACAACATTGACATTTAAAACACCTAAGATATGACAATAGAATTTGTTATCTATTACTAAATGTATTTTAGCCAACATAGTATCCACAAAATACTAAGATACTAAAAAATAGGTATAGAAATACAAGATACAAAATGAATTTTAAAAAAGTTTTATAGTTACAAGATGAAAATACGTATTTTGTATCTTGTATCTGTATTTCAGATACTTATATCTTAGATAAGTTACACATCTCATTATATGTTGCTATATATATATATATATATATGTATATTATGTTACTATTGTTCTATTGTTTTGGCAACGTTTTTTATAAAGCGTATGACTTTGAGACAGTTTAACTGTAACTGGATAACTGGAGGGTAGTCGACTTCCCCCACGATTACTAGCCGGCTTGGGGTGCATTTTTGTAATATTGTTTTTTAGTGTTGTCAGATTTCCTAATGTTCGTTTCCAAGTGTTAATGGTAAATACTTGTTTCTTGCAATCTCTGATACTGAGACTGCTCTGTTTCGTGGTCGTAGTTAATTATATTTTGTTTCATCTTTTCTATTGGGTCGACTTTCGGGAGATTATTTGAGATATTGATGGTTTTAATTTTCTTTGGGATTGACGAATTCGATGAACCTGTCTTCTCTCTTTTTCTTTTTTCTCTATTTACGTCATTTGGTTTCTTCACCAATAATTTATCGTGTTTTAAGAATGAAATATTTCCCTTCTTCCTCTCTTCTTCGACCTTCGACTACAATTGCTTACGTACCTCTAGCACCTCTTTGTGGTAGTCTTCTTTGACATTAATACCTGAAGGAAGGCTGGACTTGTTTCACAATATAAGGTATTTTTTTCATAAGGTCGTTAGAGCAACTACAACGGGACGTTTTTTATAAGACGATGTTCCAATCCTGTAAACATTGCGTATTTCTTGACAGTCTACGTGAGTTTCCGATTCCACTATGATTTCTTTTATATAGTCTATAACTTCATGTTATCTTTTCAATTATCTTCAATGCCAAAGGAAACCAAATTATTATTGCGTTTGTTACTTTCCAGGATATTAAATTTTTCTTCCAATTTTAATACTTTCATTATAAGGTTTTCATTTACTTCAATAATTTCTTCCATCTATTTATAATAAGGGTTTATAAAAAAAGGTCATATTATAAAAAAGATCATCTAGTTATAATAAGGGTTACTTGGTTTAGTTTTTCTTCTAATTTTGATAATAACAGCTCCATGTCAAGTATTTACCTCCATTTATATATTTGGAGGTTAATTAAGGTAACACTTTTCATCATCATAATTACAGCCTTTCACAAGTTCACTGCTGAGCATAGGCCTCCCCCAGGTTATACCACAAAGACGGTATTGAGCCACCTGCATCCATCGACTGCCTGCATGTCTTACCAGGTCGTCACTCCATTCCCTACACTTCGCTCACCGGTACGGGGCTGCCACTCGAGAATCTTTTTTTCTCCATCGGTTGTCGGTTATTCGAGCTATATGACCGGCCCACTGCCACTTCAGCTTACTAATCCGTTGGGCCATGTCGGTCACTTTTGTTCTACTGCGGATATCCTCATTTCTAAGTTTATCACGCAAAGAAACCCCTAACACTGTTATTGTATGGTAATTTAAAAATTTTAATATGGTAACTTTAGTATTTTCCTTATGTTGTAGCAAGAAGCAACTGCACTACGACTGTTGTAGCAAATAACAGCTGTCAGTGTCACTGGTGGTTATTGTTAGATTGGTACTTTGATTACACATTCGATTTAACATATACATACATAAAGATAAACACTCAGGCCTGTCACCCAGAGGTTAGGCAGAGACTAAGGACTTCCATTTGGTACAATTCTCACACACCTCTCTTGCCTCCTTTACATCCATATATCTACGCATACACGCTCGTCGGTTAAGAGTAATCCGGCCCGTTTTCAATATATCGCCAATTTGGTCGATAAAACTTCGTTTAGGGCGTCCCTTCCCGATTCTGCCATTCACTTATTTTATTAATCTCACCTTCTTTCTTTTACATGGTTGTTGCCGTTTTCCTATTCCATTGACACCTCTATCGATGTGTCATTAGCTAAACAAAAAACGTTTTCGATAAAATAATTTAGTCTATGACTTAGTAAAATTAGGGATATTTATTAGTCCGGTTCGTAATACTTATATTTAAATCAATAAAAATTTATAGAACCTTCATCTGACATCTTTCAATAAAAATGTAGTCAAGTAATGCGGAATTTCGTACTATCGTTGTATAATTTAAATATATCATGAAAAGATCGCTATGAAATCTACTTACATTCAGACGGTATATTTTCGCCAAATTATCCTCAGACTTATTATGGGTTTCACAGGGAATTATAACTGTGTTTGTTTAATCGACGCTGGGTTTACTTTACGGCAGGGCTTGGAAACGTTATTAAAAATAACGTTTTTAAAACGTTTGGGACGGTTCCTTGTATAATACTTTGTTCGGAACAAAAACGAAATGAGAACGCAATGTGAAAATGTAAAAAACGGTTTATTCCGCAGGAAACTAAATGAATGGCACGTGCCACGACAAGCTTAAACCTATAAGGTATTTTTGTTTCGTATTGCAGGGCCAAAAATGGGAAAAACGGTTTAAAATGGTTAATAACGTCTTATTGAACAAGAACCATTTAAAATTTCGTTCTCTTCATAAACGTTTTTATTATGATTCCGTTCGAACATAAACAAAACAAATAAGTTTTTAGGTATTTAAGGCGAAAACGTTTCGAAACATACCGTTATCCGAGCCCTGCTTCACGGAACGTATACAAAGGGCACTGCTACGATAGTGCAATAATAGTGGCACGAGCTCTTTTGTCGCTAGATCACACCTACCAATAAATCGATCACGAACGTATTACCCGTTTTCCTGTCTGCTACCTCAAGATATTAACCATCATTAATTCATTAATTCCAGCTTAGCAAAACTCCACTGCTGAACTTAGGGGGAATATTTGCCTTAGTTCCCTCTTTTAGCAAGTGGTTTGGCAAGCGACATTTTTTATTATTTTGAGTTGTTATCAGGAAGATACTGTTGCCTATCTCCTGTTTCATTTCTCTATGTTGTTTTTTACGATACTTTATGGAATGGTATGGGGTCTTAGAGCCTCTAAGTAATAAGGTATATTATTTGGTACGAGGTATTGGTTTATTTTACACCGCCGCTACACCGGCATTATCAAGATCCTGCCTTAACTAAAAATATTTTCATCCAAGCAGATTAAGCTTTGTTGAATATAGTCGATGGTTTTCCGCTTAACTGGTAAATCTATATAAATTAAAATCAATTGCCGAATGTATATATATCATCACGATCATCACTTGAGAACGGCTGGACTGATTTTGATAAACATTCACACTCACAATTGAACCTGGTAAGTTGTGCTGCTTTCGAGATCTAGAAAACAGTCGTGCGAAGCCGGGGCTGATCGTAAGTCAGCATATAAAATTGAGATAACAAATGGGATTCAACTCGCTTATATACCGTGTGTCTGTCAAGACTTAGTATTCCTAATTCCTCCCTAACAATTAGTTTTAAAAAATTGCGAAAAGAATACTTGCAATATAATATAATAATCATCACTTGATTTAGAAAACAACATACTTGATAGTTCTAATAATAATAAGTCTAATCCTATTTTATTTCTATTTTCAGACATATAATAAAGTAATAAAAATAAAAAATAACTAAACAAAAAATCGGTTGTCTGTAAAGTCGGTTTACTGACGATAGTTGAACGTGACAACGTCATAAGAAAATGTTGCTATAAACAATTGAAACCACATTCTCTTTTCGCTGCACTTCATACTCGACGAAAACATGTAAATGTATTATTGTATAGCAGCTGTCCATGCGGACGCATCGCTCACTCAAGTAGAAGAGAGACAGATGTCGAACGCTGCCGAACGCGGAGGCCGATTGTGCCTCTTTGTCGCTCGTTCCACGCTCTCGCTTGCACTTCAAGCCTTAAATGGAACGCCTCAGAGCGAGGTAACGCCGCATGAGTCATGTTTTTTCGTGCGTGCAGCCAGCTTCATCGAATTATAAGACGTTGTCACGTCAAAACGAGTATAACGATTTCGATTGTTACTAACATTGCGAAAGAAATCACTATAGATTAAAGACGTCATGTCTTGTAAAGTAACGTCACATATAATACTACTACAATATTGCTGTCATTTTGCTAGTGAATC